GGCAGCTATTGCCACTTACACTAGAAAATGTCAATAAGGAGCTCACAATGACGGAAGCATTTCTCAGACTTGAGTATGGAATATGAAATGTTGGAAATTTAATTTCCTAAAATTTTCCTGCCAGAGCCGGATCTCTATTAGCCGGTCTTCAAGCTATAACACAATCTTTTGTACTTTTTATCCTGAAGATCGAGTTTTTCTAAACTGAACCTAGCGGATAAAAGTCAGAAAATTAAGTTTACTACATTTCGTGTTCCAAACTCAAGTTTAAGAAACACTTCTTTTGTGGTAAAAAATTAAAAATTAACTTTAAAAAAGTGACTTTCCCCGTTTTGCACTAAAATCGGATAGATTCAGAACCGATGAAGAAGATACTTCTCGAACTTCAACCTCGAAGATGAAATGTAGCAAATTGAATTTCTGCAATTTTATCTGCAAGTCGCAGCTCTGTACAAATCGATCTTTATGGTCTACTGTTCTCATCAATTAAAACAAGGCGATTTCTCACTAGTTGCATCTAGCTGGTTATCGTCTTACACTAGATGCATCGCCCGATTTAACGATAGAATGGAAGAAAATTGACTTAAAATGGTGTTCCAGCAGATAAATCGATCGAAACAAAGTAAATAATCGTCATTGAACTGGTGACGAAAACTGGTAAGAAATCATTTTTTCAAGGAGATCAGGAGCACTTTTTGAAAGTCAGAAGTGTTGGGAAGTGAAAAGCAAAGCATTTGTGGTTATTTTCACTCAGAATCATATTAGACCATTTTCTAGCAGAAACCGTTTTCCGTCCTTTCAATTCAAAAACTTAAAATATCTGAATTACTTGAATAAAATACGGCAATAAAATAATTTTCACCATTTTTTAAACTCGCCTACTACTTTTGACACTTCCGTGATCGATCAGATCGATAGACGATAAAATTCTCTATCGATGAATCTAAAAGTTGTTTCTAAGATCAATTTGGTGAGGCGAAGCATTCTTTTAAAGAGAGAGAACAAGCCTATCGCAGTATTAACATTAAGTATATGGTGATATTTTAAATATTACTCCCAGGGAAATTTTTTGTTCGACAATCCATTTGGCAGTCTTGTAGAGTACAAAAATGAGCATCAAATGGAGTCTCTAAATTATAGGGAACTGCCCGAAAAAAAGGGTTTTCGGTTCAAGTAACCATAATAAACTTACCAAAATCCTGTATTAAATGCATATCGAAAAATAATGATTTGTCATAATTGAAAAAAGCATTAAGCTGTAAGGACAAAACTGTTTTCGATCCTATTTGTATGAAATGTAGCTGACTATATGACGATGCTTTTGTGCAAGTTTGCCCTTGAAACAAGCTAGCCGACTGAATTATTGTAAATTTAGTTTTTTCAAAAATTTTCACTTTTCTCAGTTTCAACCTTTGTCTCTAATATTTATTCAACAAGAGTAATGGATATTTTTAACCAATTTGGGCTGATATTTTTTGGTAAAAACCGGATTCTGAAATCTGTTAAGGTTATCGAGTTATATGTTTTTTATTCTGATTTATACCAGATTGAGGTCTTACTAAGAAAATTTGAATTTTCTCTTTAACGAAAAGCAATTTTAAAAGGCTAGTAGCAGAGTGAAATGTGCTACGTAATACTACAGTTGCCATAGGATTAGTTTTCTCATAGTCAAAGTTTCGCAAAAACCGGTGGTGTCCTTTTCGTCTTTGATTTATTTCTCTCCGATCCCAAGCAAACATCACCTATGGGAAAAATCTAGATAAATTTTGTCTGTAATCGGACGATGCACGACGACTTGTCATCTAGATTACTAGTTGAAAAAGGGACTTTTAATTAGATGCATATGCATGTGTAACTAGCAATAGTTAAATCGATCGATTATCGGGCGGTAGATCGATAGTAGCAACTAGAAGAAATCTAGCAATCGTCCGATTACTAGATTTTCACTGTCATTACCTAGTAGTTGCAATCGAGGAAAGACACACGAAAACATTCGTCGGATGAGTCTACTGACGATCTAAATGTCTCAAATCTTGGGAATAACTTCCAGCCGGAATAGCTCAGTTGGGAGAGTGTTAGACTGAAGATCTAAAGGTCACTGATTCAATCCCGGTTACGGCATAACTCTTTTTAAATTGTTCGCTGTAAAAATGTAACAAAATTAAGCAAATTTTTTCGTTCTAGTTTCGTTTCATCTCTATTTTAAACGTCGCTCGATCTTCAGGGTATCAAGCACAAAAAAAAACTTTTTAGTCTGCAGAAGTAACTATATATAATTTATGTTAAAATATGAATCATTTCTGATAGAATGAAAGGAAACACTCAATGGACAGGAGTAGGATATGCGCAGTGACCAGTGGTATTGTGCTTTGTTACCGTCGTGTGAACGTTACCGTTCACGGCGTGAACAGGGTTGCGTTGCTTGTCGTGCCTTGTCTTTCTCGAAGAAAACCAACTGATGTGATTCGTGAGAAAAGTTGAAACCGGTCGTGATATCTTCTTTTGATTCTTTTCGAAATGAATTCTGTTTTGAGTCTCATTCTCACATTAGACGTTTGTTTAATGGACCGTTATTGTCTTTGTGGTGGTACTTTGGCTAGAGCGTCTAGTATTTAACGATTAACGTCACCGTTGTTACGTATGTTCATGTCGATACGTTCGTTGAAAGCGTTTACATCGTGAACGAAAGTTTACAATAAATGTTGACAGACATATGCACACTACAAAAAGAATCTCTGAGCGGCGAAAAAGAAAATCTGAAAGGCATCTCATTTTGATACAAAATTTACGGGCTCTAATCCCAACATGTTGAACAAGCATTGCTACGGCTTTAGAAGATTTCTAGAAAACCGATCCTTTAGAAAGGTGCCAGGAAAACTATATAGGCGCAAACGGCTATGATATCCGTAATCAGTACCCTCAATTACATACAAACAGCCCGGCTTGAACAAACTTAGGATGATGCATTTAGTAAGAAATGATAGGTCATAAAAAGCGATATATACAACCAAACACTATGTACACCGTTTTACTGCAAGCCTGCTGATATTCTGTGATTTATATTTTTCGTTGCCATAGATTGATATTTAATCTTTTCTAGTCAACGTCCGACGAGTATTGTCCGACGTACAGAGAAGCTCTCTGTAAGTATTTGGTTAGCAAAAAGATTTAATAGAGTATAATAACTTTTTACATAAGTGTTGGGTCTTTTTTGGTTTTCATCAATATTATTCTTGTCTTTCCGTGCGTTGAAAGCTTTCAACGCGTTTACATCGCAAACGAAACTTTGCAATAAATGTTGACATTCATATGCATACTAGAAAAAGATGGCATCTGGAATTTCATACTATTTTCAATGGTTTGGTAAAAGGTTTTGCTGAAAGTGTTAATTCATAGGACGATCAGGTAAGTGAAATAGTTATTGATGGGTCATCAATATGAGACCGACAAACATAGGAAGTTCTAAACAACTGTAGAACTATATAGATTTGAACGAAATGTATTGCTGTTCTTTGCCATTCACTTACTTACGAGATGAAACTGTACAATTCATCGGTAATGTACTGCATGCAGATTCATGATCCTGTGCAATAGTTTGAGACCCTTTATAGGATTTATTTGTTGAAAAAGAATGAAAGCCGGTATCCATATCTTGTGCCTGAATCCAACAGAAAATAGGTCGCTGTGTACAACGTTAAAGAAATAATCACATCCAAAATGTTTCTAATAGTGGTCGCTCTAATCGTCTGGGACGGTTCTGGAAAATTGAATTTTGCAAAAACTTTCCAAGGTAGATTTTATATAATAAAAAGTGTTGTCTTGAATCATCAAATGTTATTTTGATTTCAGGTCCAAGTCCATGTACAGATTTACGACTAGAAAATGGACGAAAATTGCTTGAAAAAACCACAGTGAATAATAAATTTTCGGTTCTTGACATGATGGATATAACAAGCTGAAATTGGCATATTAACCATTTCTCCTCCTATCGAAATTGAGTCAACACGCGCACATCCGTTGTACGTAACACATCGAAATTTGACACAAGAACAATTGAATGAAGTAAATTTAGATGAATTTGAACGAGAAGGTATTAAAGAAATTTTAGAAGAGTGAAAGACAAAGAACACAGTTTTTTTCAAATCTTGTGCTCATTTTTTCGATTCACTATATGAACCTGTGTTATTTTATATGGTTTTACTTAGTCATCGCATCCCTGTTTGAAAAGCAATAAAGTTACCTCTGTAGATAAGAGTACACAACAAATATTGTCAGATCAATGATTTAAGTTTCTGAGAAATGAATGATGCAAAAATCAAAATAAAACAAGAGACCGAGCGTACTGACAAAGAAAGAAGAAAAATCATATCAGTCGGTGGCTGCTATTTTTCTCGAAATATAGTCGGTCAAATGAATGATATATCAGAAATTAGTAGCTCGGCATGTATATATTTGTATATAAATAGCATCATACAATTCTCAGAAGTTACTTTTTCGAGTTCATATTAGAACAGAAGAGTGCCTTGCCAAAATAACATATGAACAGAAGAGTATTGAGACCACCTGATGAGACCGTTGAGCATCAGTCGAAACGCGTCGTGGCATGTTCAAACAAAACCCAATCCGTCCTGTCTCGCATAAAGAACAGGAAGAAGTGGAATTTCTTTTCTACTGGATAGAGTGTATATAATGGGTGCGATTGTGTGTCTCCTCAGGAAGTAAAAGTCAAAATATTGACTGCCTGTTATGAAGTTCCCTTGCGATCGTTTATTCCCTTACGATAGTAAAGATAAAATGCCATTTTTTTCGGTTTTATATTTTGCATGCTCATTTTTTCGATTCACTATATGAACCTGTGTTATTTTATATGGCTTTACTTGAAACTACATTTCCGCTCTCGCCTGAGCTACTGAGACTACGGAAATAGGATTTGAACATGTCAATACTCAGGAGAGCAAAGTGGATTCTTTGGTTGACGGTCCTGTGTCTTTCAGATTACATTAAAAAGTTTCTGTTGTTACAATACGATTTTGCCTTCTTATTTTCAATGGTACTTCCTGATTTTGTATCAAAGCTGGAAGTGCACTCGGTTGTGATGTTGGTTGTAATCGTAGTGCAAGTCGTTGTCTCTCCCATCCAAATACTTGTTTTGTCCAGAAATGACCAATTCGTTCGCG